GCTTTATGGTAAAAGAGACAATATTTTTCTGAATATTTGAATATAATGAACTAAATGNCACACTGATAGTCACCTATGACGCTGTCTACAATGGGAGACAGACGTTCAAATAGGATATTTGAGAAGACCTTATAGGCAACGCATAACAGACTTATTCCTCTATAGTTGTGACAGTCCAATACATCCCCTTTTTTATGTATTGGACATAAAATACTCAACTTCCATTCAGTAGGTAATATCTCTCTCTCCCAACTAGATAGAATAATTTTCCAGATGTTGTTTACAATAGCGTTCCCACCATATTTTAGAAATTCAGCTGGGATATCATCTGGTCCTGCCACTTTATTACATTTCAGCTTGTTGATAGCGTGTTGTACCTCTTCCAGGGTCGGAGTGTCAACCAGTGTATCATTGATATTGTTGACCGTAAAATTTAATTCACTTGACTCATTGGAAAATCTAAAAATCAGCTTTTATTTTAAAAATATATATTTTAAAACGTTCCTGACATATAGATTAAATTGTAACTCATACATTTATGTTGTACATTGTTAGACGTTTCTCTGCAAAAATAGTTCGACAGCCATTTATTTAATAGTAATTTTACCATATTCAATCAAAATAGTCAAATACCGTAAAACGTAAAACCGTAAAAAAGGTAATATTCAAATTGGTAAGTGTGAGAAAAAAATGCTTCTTAATTGTTTTTATTTTGGTAATACGGTTAAACAACCAGAAATTTAAGCATGCCAACTAGGCCCATTTTATAAAGCTATTTTGTCCCTTGCATCTGGGTGAATACTGTAACTGAGAGGAATAATCGGTCAGTCTCGTGACCGGCTGAACAGGGGTTCGAATCCCAGCATCCTGTACTCTTCAATCGGTGACCCTGAACTATAAGATAAAATAACTATCATTCACGCATAAATAACACAGCACCCACAGAGCTCCAATGTCAGTTTAAGTCTCGTTTTTGCGGTTCATAAATATTCATAAATGGTTACAAAACCGTATAGTTTTGTATTCAGGGTGTTTTTTAACCGTAACTGTTGTAGATGGTTTCAAAACCGTAAAGGTAAAAATGTTCCTAATCTTAATCGGACAGGGAGACTGCTGCCAGTTATTTTAGCGTAATTTAAGAGTGAAAATTCTAACAGGGTGGATAGTTTAAATATTAATACATTAAAATTAAAATCACAGAAAAACAATGCATAGTAAACAATAGATGTAAAACAATAAAAGTGTCTTTTATAAACTTTGTAGTATTTACTTTTTTTGAAATGTGTGCATACATGTATTGTTAGTTAACTATATTAAAATTATTTGTTTAACTGATTGCATTAAAACTTTAGTATCAAATAATACAATATTTTTCTTTAGTTTCCTATCTTTTTAATTTAGTAATTAAATTCACATAAAATTTCCAATCTTAAACTTTTTTTTTCAATTAGAAACATGAATATAAGCAGTTTTGTTTAAAAAATTTAATTAATCATACTAAAATTAAGGAAATGTCAATTTTTATCGCATTACTTTTGTCATCACAATATTTAAAACCACAGGATTTTACAGGTATGACTTTAATATGCAAATATCATAAAGCTATATAATTTTTCTTAACCTAAAAAAATTTTGTAACTAATGCTAATTAAAAGTTATTAAAGATTTTACTACTTTGAGAGTTAAATTTGTATGAAAAACAATTTTATTTTATTAAAAAAAGTAAAAGGGTTTTATCCCTTAAATCTCTCAGGTTAATGGAAAATGAGTTTTCAAAATTTAAACTATTACAACTAATTAATTTCTTTAAACTTCCTTTTGAAATTCAAATGTAGTTATTCCTTTNTACTTTGAGAGTTAAATTTGTATGAAAAACAATTTTATTTTATTAAAAAAAAATAAAAAGATTTTATCCCTTAAATCTCTCAGGTTAATGGAAAATGAGTTTTCAAAATTTAAACTATTACAACTAATTAATTTTTTTAAACTTCCTTTTAAAATTCAAATGTATAAAATCCATAATGTATAAATTCATACAAAAATGTATAAATTCAAATGTGTCAAATGTTTAAAATTCCTTTGCTTTTACTCTATTTATAAAGAAAATACTTGTAAGAAGCATTAATAAAGGAATTTGTCATTAATATTTATGGTGGCATTTAATTATTAAAGGTACATACCAATAATACCATTTGTAGATTACACTGGGGAACATTTTTTTTTTGTTACATGAGATTTTTTTTACAAATTTTAGATACTTTCGTATCACTGATTTCAAATCAACACTCGGGTTTTTTGAAGTCATCTTTAGCGTATTTTTTGTCGAAATGTTTAAAAACGATATAAATAACAAGGAGTCGCATAAATGTTGCGACACACTTTTAAAGGAGTTCAACATCAAAATTTAAGTCGCATCGAAACCCATCTCCCGAAATGTCATAAGCCGCTAGGGGCGCTTCCCGGATTATGAACTGTTTCTTCGTGCGCTTCTAAACAGATAATAATAAGAGACGAGCCCCCAGCCACGTCTGATGGCATTTGTGGCCATGGGTTCTTCTACAATTTTAATCTCGATGGTGTCCTCTAACTCATTTGGTCGAACACTTACACGATGCCCCGTTATAGATCGCGTTCTTAAACTTATACATTTCGACAAAAAAAAAAGAAATAAAAAAAAACCATGTTGATTTTTAAAAATGTTTTGAAGCTTTAGGAGTGAAACTAGTTTTAGATTTGAAAACTTCAAACCCAAATCAAACAAGATCAAGTACTTGTATAAGTACGGGGAAAAAATTTGTTCTCTGTTACAAAGTGGGGTGTAAGAATCCATTTATACAGATGACTAATATATTTAAAAAAAAACAGTACTGCTCATTAAAAAATATCACAGTTAGTAAAATAAAATTAGATGAATATTTCAACAATCTGAATTAGATGCATAGCAAAATAAAAATTATAGAACTTGTAAAGAATAATTTTTCTAATTTCACCATGTTTCATGGATATTTGCTATATCTAAAGCAACCTGACGGTTTGAGATATTTCGAAAAAATTTGATATAATTAAAACGCGTATTCCTTTTCTTAGACCATGGCACTTTAATTAAAGCAATAGAGAAGGGAAGAAAATTTCTTTTTTTTAAAATGATAAGCAGAATTATTTTCATTGAAAGTTTCAGACAAAAAATACTAAAATACAATGATTCTGAGAATACAATGATTCTAAAATACAATGATTCTAAAATACAATGATACTAAAATACAATGATACTTCAACCGTTTGCACAAATATAAATTAAGGAATACTGCCTGAAAAAACTTCCTTTCAAAGCTTCTGAGAATTATTAAGTAAAACTATATAGTAAAAGAAAAGTTTTCCAAAACTGCATAACCAACGATATATTTTCATGTTTGTTTCTAACTTGAAATTAAGGAAAATAACTGAGTATGATTACAATGGGGAAAACTTTCTTTTTAGTTTTCTGTTGCATGCGAGTTTTTAATGGATTTGAATATTTTAAGGCAGCTGATTTCAAATCTACAATCGATTTCTCTATCCAAGTTGCAGTTTCTTTTAAATTACTTTTTTACTCTATCTTTAGTTGAAATGTACAAATTTAAAAGCGTTATATATTACAGGGTCTCGCATATATGTTGTGACAAATTTCTCTAGGGGAGGTAGGGCACATCATCAGTTATTAGTGAATTTAGGGATGACATCAGGGATTATAGGAATTAGAGAAAATCCTCATCGATTATAATTGCACTGGAATTCATGTCCAGAAGTTTCGCCCTACGCCACTAGGGGCACTTCCCTATTATGAACTGTTTCTTCGTGTGCTTCTGAGCAGGTAAAGTAGGGAATCACTCCTAGTTGCGTACAACGATATTTGCGGGGATGGATTCCTATGCAATTTTAATCCTGATGATGTGCCTTAACTTCTTTGGAAGTTTGTAGCCACATTTATGTGACCTCTTTTATATATAACGTTTTTAACTTGTACATTTCGAGAAAAGTAGACTAAAAATTGAAATTTAAAAACTTTTGTAGCTTTTGGAGAAAAACTAATTTCAGATTTGATATCCGCATATCCAAATTAGAAAACATCAAATATTTGTTTAAATGCAACGAAAACTTTTTCCCCCAGTCTTATTCACAAACATTTGCTTTGTCAGAACAATCCATTTGCNTCAAAAGCATTTTACAATTGGGAACATCATTTACTTTGTCGCTTTTTGAAGCAATTAATGGCTCTAAATTTATATATATATATATTACAATTAGTATTATTAGAGAATAATGAATGTATATTTTCTCAATGGTTTACAGATCTAGACAGGTTAGAATCCCTTCAATGTCGGACTACCTCTCAATATAACACAAATGAATGTTAGTTCCATCAAAAAGACAGCAACGAAAGCTAGTTTGTCTTCATGCATGATCCGAGAGTTCCATTGTCTTCTGGGTTGGATTCGAAATTGCAAAAATATGGTGTTAAGCATTGTTAGTCGAATAAGTTATAAAATAAGAAAAAAAACTATTACGATCACATCTTTCAAAAAGCATTAAAACCTCTATTTTTAAAATCTGAAATCCTTTTTAAAAAATGTATACAAAATAAGCGAAAGTGTATTTTTTTTTGTCTACTAACTACCAAACGCAGTTTTATTTAAGACTAATTAAATGGGTCTCGTAAACCATGTGTTCGGATTTTATCAGTTCTTATGTGTGGTACTTAAAAGTCCGACCAATAAATCAAAAGTTATTCTAGGTGTAACGCCTTTAATTTGAGCGCCGTATGATCTGATAAATTTATTTAGTATGTTTTTTTTAAACCTCTTTTTTTAACTAACTAGGAGTCTTAAACCATGTGTTCGGATTTTTACGTGCGACCAAAAGACAAAAAGTTTAAGCTATAAATTGGTTTGCGCATTATCTATATCTAATAAGTTCTCTTAAAACATTTTCTAAAAACCTATACTTTTTCTTATTTTTTACAGGTATATAAAGCTCTCAAAGGAATAGATGGACTTCGAGTGTATTTGAAAGATGAAATACCAGAGCATTATCACATAAAAAATAACAGACTTACCCTTCCCATATTACTTGTGGCTTCCAAAAACTATTATATAAAAGGAGTAAGATATCCTTTGCTATATAAAGTTTTGATCGTTGTTTTTGATTATTCTACAACATCAAGAGAAATATCACAATGAAAAGTTTTAAAGAAAAGGATTTGCTTCGTTTAGCTTTCTTTTTTTATGCAATTTTGAAAATAATTATTATTTATTAATACCTATATAATTTCTTTAATTTTTGCAGATTTTACTTTTTTAGCTGTTAATTTTTAAATTTTCAAATGTTTTTGGAATTTGCATGGTTTTTTATTTGTTAATCTTGAAGTACAGTCTAACTCGTTTATAACGAGTCCTGTCTTTGCGAGATCCCGAATTTAACAAAAAAATTAGAAATACTTCGTTGGTACTATGTTAAGTTGACTGGAGCATAGCTCGCTTCTAATGAGCGAACCCTGGTTTGAGCGAATAATATTTTTGTGATTCATGAAATTACTTAATTATACCTCTCCAAGTTCAATTCTTTCTTGTAAAAATTCCATTTTGATGTTTTTCGAGTCTATAAATTCCTTCTTGATGTGGATGATATTTTCGGGCATAAGTTTTTTCCGAAGAAAAAATGCACAATAAAGAAACAATAAGATAGTCTATCTGCACCGATTAATTAGCATATTTAAAGCTACCTCCTCGAACCAGTAAGAATGAGTCCTAAGACATGACGATCCGAACATTAGATCAAAAGTTATTCAGTGTGATTCCATTTTTATGCACTGTACATTATCTCAGTACATATTGAGAAGTCTCTATCAATTTTTGTCTGGATTCAAAACAATTTGCTCTGTATGATGTGATTGTACAGAGGTTAATACACTCATTTTTCAAAAAAGTTTACCCTGTTCGAATCCTGGTGCACTGTTAAATTTCTCGGAAAAAATGGCTAAATAACAATTTAATTCATTGTTATTTTTATGGATTTAAACAAAACAGTCAAATAACCGTAAATAAGATGGTATTCTAACTGTTAACTGTGAGAAAAACCGTTCATTCTTTAACCGTATTAGATAGACACTTTATTCTTATAAGAGAAACATTTCTTTCACTTAACAGCGTTAAGCAACCAGAATTTTAACCTACTTAGCCCACTTAATGAAACCACTTAGTTCTTTGCAAATATAGTTATATATTATACCCGAGAGGGCAAATCTGTCAATTTCGTGATCAACAGAATGGGGGTTCGAATCCCAGCGTTAACACCACAATATTCCATCAATTTCTTTCAACACATGAAGAGTTTCCAGTGTCCTGCCCTCCCAATTTACGACCCTGGGCTATTAGAATATGATACTCTCATCCACGCATAGATGGCAGCACCATAAATCTGCTACACTATCTCCCATGTCCAGCTAAATTACATTTTTACGATTTCAAAACCACGCTAGCTTTAAATGGTTAAAATATAGTTGCAAAAGTAAAAACTGCTCTTTACCGTAAACTTTCTGGTTAATTTGATGGAAAGAATGTACCATTTATTTAAACACAATTTTAGAATGAAAATTCTAACAGTGTAAGGACTGCAAACTGCTCTTGTTTTTATTGCAAACAACTTAAGCCTATTGTGTACAATTCCATTAATTTTTTCTCATATTATCAATTAATGAATAACATTAAATGATACGTTACATTAATTATGAGTTCAGTTTTTTACGATTTCAAAACCATGCTAGTTGTAAATGGTTAAAATATACTTGCAAAGGTAAAAACTGTTCTTTACCGTAAATTTTCTGGTAAATTTGATGGAGAGAATGTGCCGATTATTTTAACTTATTTTGGAATGAAGATTCCAACATTGTGAGGACTGCAAACTGCTTTTTTGTTTTTTATTGCGAACAACTTAATCAATTGTGATCAATTCTATTAGTTTTTTCCCATATTATCAATTAATGAATGACATTAAATATGTACTACTTTTTTGTTTTTTATTGCGAACAACTTAATCAATTGTGATCAATTCTATTAGTTTTTTCCCATATTATCAATTAATGAATGACATTAAATGATACGTTACATTAATTATGCGTTTGATGTGATGTGATGTGATGTGATGTGATGTGATGTATTTTGAAACAAATGAAGATGTAACTAAATCAATTTAACGAACTAATCGTTTGGAGCATTTCTTAAAAAATTTCGCCAATAAGGAAAAAAGTTCCATGTCCATTTCTAACACTGTTAACTGTTTCATTGCAAATTCCATTAGTTGTTTGAGAAAAAAATCTATCAAAACAATTCCGCAAGTATCATATAATTAGAAATAAAAAGCTTGCAAGCAGCAAAATGTATTGTAAAACTTAATTTTGAAACAATAAATTCAGTACAATATTTTACTCGCATATTATGCTAATGAACCAATTTCTTCATGCGTGCTCTTGGCGTTGAAAAAGCTACTTGTCTCTGCGAAAACATTTAGAGATACGGAAAATATAATTTATTCTAACTTCTGCGTTTCTCTTTACTAGAAATCTTGAATAATGCATGCATTTTAAAACTCGAAGCGTATAATTTGCATTCAATAAAATTTTAAAAGCATTCTTACCTTTTTTTCCCTGGGAAATGTAATCATCACGTAATAAAATATTAATAGGTATACATATTATACATATATTTTCGTTTTACGTAAAAATTGTTTTTTTAGTGACATATTTTAATGCAGTTATAACATGTTTTACTCACAACAGCGTATAATTGTAAGATATATTTTCAGAAGTTTGTGAAATTTTAGTGGTTAGAATTAAGAATAAAATAATTCCAAGTTTTATTAATATTTAAAAGGGCAGAAGGTGTTATTTGTAAAACGGAATAATAATTTGAAAAAATATGTTAATGTTACTTGACATTTTTATTAAGCTTTGGCTTTTATTACAAATGGTTTCGATGGTTTATAAATTACAATTTGGAGTGATTCGATATTTACTTTTGAGAAAACCTGAATAAAAATTAATTAACAATGTAAATAATTTGCTTCAAATTACATTTTGAAGGCTTTCTATTTTCTAACTATTTATTCATCACTTAATTAAATATAAGTTTCAATTATTCCGTTAAGTTTTATTATTAAGCTATTTTTTATGAAACATACTTTTATTTTGTCATTTAAATAATTTCAGAGGAATATTTTCGATTTAGTTTTCAATATGCATAATTAATTTTTCAAGTAAGTAGCTTTATATGACAATGCACTTTAAAAAAATATTAGAAACTGATATGTCAAAATTTTAAGTTATCTTGTAAATCAAGTTTCTTAAATTAACTTTGGTATAAATGCACATGTGATTTAGTTGGGTTTAAGCATAGTTTATAACAAAAAAAAATTTTATTTCACTTTTTATATTCTTTTTTTTTTGTTCTGTGTAATCTGATTTTCAGCTTTCGTATTAAGCAAATGTGTTTATTTTAATATAAATAAAAGTTATAATAAAAATGTGCTTTATTTTAGTTTTTATCCAAAGGTGCTTTATTTAAATTAGTTACTGCAATCTTATATTATTAGAGTTTGAATTTCGGTTTTATTTTAATTTTGTATCTATTATAGAGTACAAATGTAGGTATTTTTTGGATTTAATTGTGCTTTAAATGTAGGCCTTGATACAAATGTTTTTTATTTGATTTTTAATGCTAGTTTTGATGCAAGTATTTTTAAGTAAGTTTAAAGTTATTTATATTGCAAGTGTTAATTCGAAATATATTTTGTTGGTATACACCGAAGATCCATTACATTATGACCACCCTGCTAATAACATGTAGGACCATCTTTAGCCCTCAAAACTGCTAGCACCCTCCGTGGCATTGATTCCACCAGGTGATGATAGGTAGTCTGAGGTATCTGGTACCAAGCGCTCACCAACTGGTCCTGCAATTCCCTTACATTGTGCGGGGGTAGCGTGGCAGCACGAATTTGATTTTCCAAGTACGACCACAAATGCTCTATTGGATTAAGATCAGGTGAATTTGGGGGCCAAGACATGACTTGAAAGTCACTGGAATGTTCCTCGACGATTCAACCCTTATGACATGGTTTGAATATGAGTGTTAGTGAAAGTTTTTGTTTTGTTTTGCTATATTATAATTATTTTTAAGTTATAATGAGTAATGTGATTTGCTTCATAAATTAAGAAGTCCAGATATTTCTAATGTAAAACTTATTGATTCATGGAAACCTTAATAAGCTTCCGATCATTGCTTGTTAAGTTAATGTATTAATTCATTAGCGCCTTATTTTGGTTTGAATGGAGAGTTTTATGCAAGAAAACTGTCTATGTGTTAAAGGCTTAGCTCTAAGTTTAATCTCAAATTTATTTCAACAAATTCTTTTTAAAAATTAGTATAGTGCTTAAGTTTGAGTTCGCCACTGGCTATGACTGTTTCCCGAAGCATTGACACTGTTATCGCTTTGTTTCAAGTACAGTACAGAACCCGTTATCCGGAATTCAGAAAACCGGAACGAAATTCTATAAATTTTCCCCCCATTTTTTTAAAAAAAAATTTTTTTTCCTCATAAGATTTTAAGATTTTTCTTTCTTTTTTGAAAGGTGTTTATCTTACCATCATTTTGGAAATAATCATTAGTGTATTACTTCATCGTTTTTTCCTCTTTTTAAGATTATTTCTAATTTTTTTTTTTAGTTGGCTTTAACAATAAAAAAACGGCTTTTTGTAGCGATTCAGAAAACCGGAAAAATCAGTTATCCGGAATAGCGATGGTCCCGATCGTTCCGGATAATCGGTTCCCTACTGTACTATCTATAGTCTTTGTAATCTGGGACGGATCGTAGACGGTGACCATCTCATCTTTTGCCAAACTTTAATGTTCCCTTGCGTACCACTACTCGGCTTTTTGAATTCATAGACAATTACTACAGTTGCTTCTCTTGATATCTATGTTCTTTTTTTCTCGCTATACTCGTTATCTCTATGGTTTTATATTTAAATCCTGCCATTAAAAATAAAAATATATATATTTAGTCATCAATGTAAATACATTTTTTTATTTAAATGTACGCCTTTATCAAGTATCTTTTATTTTAATTTAATTGTTCACATTTGGGTCTTAATGCTAATTGAGTTTTATAAAGAGTGTTATGGCTCGTGATTATATTGTGGCGTAACTACCACTATAAATGTTAAATACTAATTCAGTAGTATATATCACATGTTAACTTGATTCCATCTTGAGGTACCTTTTGATAGATGAAGGTTGACATAGTCTAAAATTAAATCCCTTCATTATTTTTAATTTTAGACTATGCCAACCTTCATCTATCAAAAGGTACCTCAAGATGGAATCAAGTTAACATGTGATATGTGAAACGCCACATTATCCTTATTTTCTATCCTGTTTGGTACTATGTTAAATGAGATATATAAATGTTAGAGTGAGTTACTATGATGCATTTCTTTTAGTTAGATATCCCTGGCAAAAGTATTCCAACCGGATCGTCAATTTCATTAGGTTCACATGGATATGATCCGTATGAAGTACCTGATATGAGAGGCATATTTTTCGCAAGAGGACCAGGTAAACCTACTCGGTAAACTTTCTTTAATTTATTAATGAAGATAATTCATTTTCAGGTACTTTTTTACATCACTCATTGAGGTAAGAATAAAGATAGTTGGATTCGCGAAATTCAACTATCTACGTTCTGGTTGGGAAGCATAGTGCCGAAAAGCAAAATTCTATGCCAAATAAATATCAATCGCGTATTGAAATTGTCAGCAATGGGTTGCAAGACCTTTAATCCAGCCCATTCCCAAAGAAGCGATTGTTTTAGATTCCAAACTTTCGCGTACAATGATTGTGTACATAGCAAACGAACGATTTTTCACTGTCGTTTTCCTCGCTTAATCAACTCTAAAATAGCAGATCTTTTGCTTGACATTGTCGCAAAATCCAAAAAATAAACAATTCGTAAACTAAGACATGTAAAATAAAATATTTTATAATTAATGTGGTAAATAAAAAAGCAATGAACACACAAATAAAAAAGAAATTAGGTAACTTCTATTCCGTGATGCAATAGTTTTGTCCGAGGTTTTTTTTATGGCGTACCCTATTAATGCCAAAATCAATATTCAAACGTTAGTAATAACTTAAGTCAAAGACAAATAATTTTTCTGAAAAATACAGCATTTTTTTTAAAATGTTGTTACATGGTATTATTCTGTTAGCTCTTGTTTAAATCCCACATCTCACTACAAATCAATTACTATTTTTTTCAAAAATAGAGGGAGTTTCTTTTATTTAATTTAAAAAAATTGACAATTATTATAATATTTGTTTATTTTTTACTGTTTTACATTGCCTATGTTACCTTATGAAATATATGTAAACATGTTTCAGAAAATGTAAAATTACAGCACTTGTTATGCACTAATTCATTATTAGGTTAAAAGCCATAAATAATAAAGGCAGGTCTGAGTGGTAGCGCTCCCGTATCATAGGTCCTGGGTTCGATCCTCAGGCCGGGTAAGGTTGACTCGGCATTTCATCCCTTCAGTGGGTCGATAAATGAGTACCAAACATGGTTGGGAATTAAACATTGGGGGATTCACGTTCGCCTGACCACCTAACCGAAACGTCTGCTCCTGCACCCCAAAGCCTAAGGTCAAGAAAACTGAGATGGTCACTGAGATTTGGCCCTTTATGGGCTGTCACGCCACTGAGTTTTTTTAAATAAAAGCAGGTATATTGAATGATTAGAAGGAATGATTTAGAAAGAAGAAAAAAATCATAACGTATGAAATATTGAAAAAATTGACAACGCTGGAAACTTTTGTACATGTATATAAAAGACTATATTTAAAATAACGAAGACTTCACGAAAAAATATTTGGTTAAAGAACTTTCTGAGACCGATAAAAAATGAGAGAGTGATTCTTATTACGACGATAATAAAAAAAATTGACATAGTCGAGACAAATGTATGTTTATAATGATTTTTTAAACGGAACCTTAGCACAAAGTAGTTTTATGGTAAGCTTAATTATTGCATGAATCAAAGTTTTGCTGGGAAACATTATCTATAACTAATGAACTTTAAAAATAAACTTTGTCTCTTTCAATACCAGAAACTTTTGTCTGTACACGGAGGTAGAAATTCTAGTAAAATTACCGTACTATATAGTAATGACATTTCTGTTAAAAAAGAACTAAGATTAAAAAAAAAAACATAATTCTAGTAATAAAAACCAAAATGTGCGGTATTTAAACCATTCATTTGGTAACAGTTTATCGGAAATTCTGGTTTTCAAAATTATAATTCTTAGTACCACAATTTTATTAAAAAATACAAAACTTAAAAAGTAAATTTAACCGAATAAATGGTTTTTATGCCATTTTCTAAAGTATCACTATAAAATTGCCAAATTTTACCACAGTTACCGAATTTTATCTCACATTATAAACCATATTTTATTATTGATTTTACCATAATTATTAACAAAGCGGGTTGGGTAAAATTACCGAGCTTTTTGTTGTTCTCATGGAGACAGAAACACGGTACCATATTCTGGTAATTTTGACCATACCTTTTTTTTTCTCAGTGTAATAAACCTAATGAGAGATATCTCGTGCTTCAAGTTACATAAAAATATTAAAATTTACAAAAATAAAATTTGAAACGTTTTTATATATCTATATAACTAAAACAATCTTACATAAATAGAAACAAGTAAATTTTTTATCACATTTTTCTTACAGAAAAAACAAAAATAATTTCAATTGTTAAAATATTGGTCGTGAAAACGATTTAGAACAAATGTTGCGTAAAATGTATAAAAAAAATACAGTTTCAATAAAAAAAAAATCTAACAAGGTCAATAAAAGATTTTTTGCCTACACTGCACAAACACCCGTGAACACACGCGATATGAATTTCAAATATCTAGTTTTTTTTTTCCTTTTACGTATGCTCTAAATTATTCCAGGATTGATACTAGTAAACTTTTTTCAAGGGAGATCTTCCAACTGAAAACGAAAATAAATTTATTAAATAAAAAAAAGAATGAGTAAAAGAATTCTTTCGCTATAAGTATTTGCAAAAGAAATAACACATTCCGATTAATTGCAAATCGATGGAGGAAAAAAAAACTGCGCGTTAAACAATTACTGCAACTCAAACAATGTTTGTCTTAAGAATTTTTTGCGAAGAATAATGATACTATTCTGAAAAAAAGGCAGAAGAATTCTATAATGGCAGGTAATTGTAAGAAGATTATATACAAAGAAATTACTTGTCGTTAATTGAAGTGAATACAAGGAAAGAGGAGTTATTTTCGGTTAAGTGTAAGTGTGGTCAAATTGACATTGTTCAATGTTAGGAATAAACCATTATACCATAGGGATTTTAGTGATAATTCTTGTTGCAGAGCAGTAACATTTTTTCCCTCCTTTTTTTATTTGAGAAAAGCATAGTTAAATGAAAAATCAATTTACAAAACTAAATTAATTTACACGGAGAAAAACTTTGGTAAAATGACCGTATTGTATGGTAATGACATTTCTGGCGAAAAAAAATGAAAAAAACATAATTCTGTGATAAAACCAAAATATATGGTTATTTATAACCCATTCATTTGGCAATTTTCCCGTTCAATTACTAACGGTTTACCAGATACTCTGGTTTTTAAAATTATAGTTCTTATTACCAAACATTTAGTAAAAAATTCAAAACTGAAAAGTAAATTTAACCGAATATATGGTTTTCATACCATGGATCTAAGGAATAAGGAATCAAGATAAAATTACCAAATTTTGCCACATTTACCAAGTTTCACCACATTTCACAACACTATACTTTATGATAAATTTAACTAAAATCTTTATCAAAGCGCTGCGGTAAAAATAACCGAGCTTTTTGGTGTTCCTGTAGAGTCAGAAACACGGTTCTTGCCATATTCTGGTGGTTTTACCATGCCTTTTTTTCTTAGTGTAGTAATTGCTTACTGTAGTCAACTTATATTTCAAGTTATAGTTCCCTAGTTCTTAATTGTAAACAAATTCCGTCTCCATACCTATCACATATGCAAAATATTCTACTCTCAATACAAGATTAACGCAAACAAGTTACTGAAATTTCAAATATTTATGATTTCGAAACCACATTATTACACATATTCATTCATAAGAAATCAGTATTCATATTTTTCTTACGGAATTTTAGTTTCAGTGCGTATTTACGTAAGTTCGTAACGCTCCGTCCGTTTACCTAAGTATTTACGTATTACGTAGCATACGCAATTACGAAAGTGGCAAAATTTTATTTCATTAAATGCTTAAGATAATTAGTCTGCTTCGTTTAATTTTTTTTTCAGTTCAAATTCTCTCTTTTAAATTCTGTTAACGCATGAATTTTAACAATACAAAAGTTAAGATGGTTGAATTTATAGTCCCGCTAAAATATTCAATTTCCTATTATTTCAAATTAAATAAAAGTAATCTCCGAAATTATGCATTCACAAATTGAGCTGCGATGAATGATTTATTTGAGTATTTCTATGTTAATAACCACAGAATATACTTTCTTTTTTACATTAGGATTCTTGTACTTCTAAAAAAACTTTTTTTGAGAGTTAGAAATTTTTTTTTCAGTAAACTATAATTCTTCATATAATTTTTTTCTTAATTCCTATCTCTTATATTATTTAAAACTCCATAATATTTAAAATTCTAAACTCAAATTAATAGAAAAAAAAACACTTGGACATTTAAAACTGAAAGAAAAGAAAAAAGGGATTTTTAAAACCTAATAGAATTTAAGAATTATTTAACGAATAATAAATATTGATTTATTTAGAATTATTATAGTTTATTTCCAAAAGAATTTATTAGAATTTTTTCCAGATTTATTAAACATCATTAAAGAGTTTGTATTTTTGCAATTGTTTTCTCTTTTCCACATTAATATTTTTATCTCCTTCACTAATTAATAACGTGTGGAAATTTTTTTTTCATTTTACCCATTTCTTATATCAACTTACATAAGGAAATATACAAATTCAACTGGTTTTTATGCATTTCAACTTAGTTTTCAAGTTTTATTTTCTAAGATATTTTATATTTCTAAATGTTTTAATCTTCTTGCTGTATAATTTCATTTAAAGCAAATATTTTTATATAATAGGAGGGTTTTTGAATGGAAGTGATTCGCCATTTACACTTCATGGTTCGTCTATTTATCAAAACCTCGTAGTAATCTAAATTATCGATAGTAATGCATAAATCAATACAAAACAATTATTTAATTCTAACATAATTAAGCTCTTGATGGAATTATAAATCAAGATAATTCGAATCGGTAAATATGTTTACTTTATAAATGTTCTTTATAAATAAATACTTGAACTCATGTTTTTGCGAACCATAATAAACAACATTTAATTTGTTAAGAACTGAAAAACTGTGTTTTTTTTTAAAAATACTTCCTGTTATAGTTATTGATTTCAAAACACATTTCACTATTTTGTCACTTTTTCTGAACTGAGCTCTTTGCGAAACATTTCTACTCAGAATTTTTATTGAATATATTTTTCTTTGTTTTTTTATTAATTTATATTAATTTTGGTCGAAATAAGTGAAAAATATTCTATTTAACATTTTAATAATTGATGATTATTAAATATAGCATGAAACATTGCTGTCTTTTTCAGCGTTAAAGGTAAAATCATCCAATCACGGCTCACTTTCCAACAATAATTTTTTAAATTTATACTTATTTGCAGTTTAGATCTAAGCGAAACAGTTATTCATTATTGAAACTTCTGTTAATTTCCGTAATCAATGATTGATATATTTTTGAATTTTATATTTTAGTACAAATATAATTCCGATAATCTAACAGACTTTATATTAGAATGCTTTTTATAATTGAAAATTACCAAACTTTGTTTTTCTTCTAATTAGAGCGTTAGTAAAAAGGTAAAATCCTAGAATAGCTCACCTCTTGACGACTTCTTGAAATCTCGCTAAGTTTGCGATTATTACTTGGATCAAAGTTGTTTTTCATTATTAAAAAATCAATTTAAATTATTTCAAATTTATTAAAATATTTTTAATAGAATAAAAAATAACTTGCATTAAGGTTGCAACATATCTCCTCGAAATCTAGTCTGGCGAGATTTCAAAAAGTCGCTTGGCGAAATTTCAAAAAATCGCCACAGAGAAAGCTAATCTAGGCTCCATCCGGAAAAAAATAGATAAAAAGGACACCGGTGTCCCATTTGTGTCAAAATGTTAATAACCAGTAATGATAAATAAATAAAAAAACTTAAACTTAGATACTAAATGTTCATGTCAACATCTAACATTATTTTATTTCAGGTCTGAAAAAGAACTACATTTCTGAACCTTTGCAGATGGTGTACATATATAACATTTTATGTGAGCTTTTGGGAATCGAGCCTCTTCCAAATAACGGAACAAATACCGTGACGAAAGGAATAACCGCACTCAGATATTCCTCGGGAGTGAAGATTTCTAAACTGTCTCTAACAATTCTTGCATCTACTGTACTTCTCTGCAACTCTATAAGTCACAGTTATTTTTCAAGAATTACCTAATTATTGGTGTGCATTTATATTTATATAAAGGCGTTTTGAATAAAAGTGCGCTATTTTAATAAGTGTCTATTGGATTTTAATGCGTCAATCATTTGTTGGTTTCTTATTATTTAGTCGTCAGGATGGAGATTTTTAAAGTTGGATGTATCAACTTCAGCACTTATTATTTTACATTAGCTTAATATTTCATAGTATCTTTTTCTTTTATTGAAACTCTATATATCTCTACGGACGAAAAAACAAATTATCGTAATCTCTAAAAATACCAAAAATGTATTTTTTTTTAAAAGAAATTAAATTTTATTAAAAAAGGAACGGTTGAAAATTCACTGTGAAATTTGATTTTTTACGTGAAATGACGGCATGAAAACATTGGTAGAGTAATTGGCTCTAGTCTTAATTTTTAGTGAACAAGAATGAATAACCAAAGCACACTATTGCAAAGTTACGCTTCTCTAGTATTTATTAGGTTTAGTTTTAGTTTACTACGAATGAGTCACCAAAACACACAATTCCGAAATGACTATTAAGTTACTACAAAGGTACACTAGAGTTAGTTGGCTTTAGTTTTAGTTGAACAAGAATGAATCACTGAAACACATTGCACCAAAGCGTAAGTGTGATTCATTATAATATTATGAAACGGTCGCAATAGCATTATACTGAAATTAATTTGACGAAATAATGTAAGGAGAAGATAGTCTAAATTGGTCTACAGATCGTTTCCTGTCTTAATTGCATGATGTTACTAAATAATTTCCAGCACAAATGGCTACGGAAAAACTACAGGGAACTTCTCCATACTCATTAGACCAACTTAGTCTTTTCTTCTAAAAAGACATTGTTTTTAGATCTTCTCCTCTTTAATTGCATGAAATTGCCAAACCAAACACTGTACAAATGACAATGGAAAAACTACAGGGAACTTCTCCATCATCCTTCATACTTATTAGACCAACTTAGTCTTTTTTTTTTCTAAAAAAGACAGATTGTCTGCAGATCGTCTCCTCTTTTAATTGCAAGAATGTTCCAAACTAATCACTGCACAAATGACTATGGAAAAACTACAAGGAACTTCTCCATCATCCTTCTTACTTATTAGACCAATGTTTCCCAAACTTATGACTTTTGTATATCCTTTTTAAATTTTTCGTAACGCTGTGTACCACTAATAAAAAATGAATGTATTTTTTACTATAAAAAAATTGCACGAAAGTTAAAAATCACAACTAGCTGTTGAAACTACTAATTATTAACTGTTAACTCTGCAAAAAATAGCCAATGGAAAAATACGTAATCGTAAATTTTCATGGCTAGCTTTGTTTTTAAATAACATTTTTTTTAAATTTTCGTTTGTTGCAAGATATTTTGCATAAGAACGCGTACCCCAGCTGAACTGTTCCCGTACTCCTGGGGGTATGCGTATCACACTTTGGGAAACACTGTATTAAACCAACATAATATTTTTTTTCTGAAAAAGACAGATTGTCTGAGATCGTCTTCTCTTTTAATAGCATGAAATTGTCAAACCAATCACTGCACAAATGACTACGAGAAAACTACGAGCAACTTGACCATTATTCTCCATACTCATTTGACCAACTTACTCTTTTTTTTCTACAAATTTCATATTTGACCACCTTGTTATAGTTTTCTATAGCAATTTGCCATTTTATTTATTGCCTTTTAATAAGATTTTTTCCATAAAGAAATTCTTTTCAAACTGAAACTTAAAGAATTATTTTCCTTAACTTTCCGTTTAATTCCATTTATATACTTTTTTTACAAGAATTGAAATATTCATCCAGTACTTCGGTGGTCTTTGATTTAAACAATCAAATAATTTTAATTAAAATTCATTCGCGACAATAATCTGTTGGACGTGAACATTTCCGCTTTAGAATAACATATTAATATTTATATTCACTTTCCGTTTAGGTCAGAGTCGCGATAGGCAGTTAAAAATTTGCTCTTGTAAACAGGCTAAAATCTCTTTGTCAATATTAGGCAATTTAATTAATCTTTTTAATACCCTTTTAAATATTAATTAAGTTAAGTTTCATATTTGTATAATTTGGTTAAAGCTGAGTGGATGCATTTCGAGATTTAATCAATGACTTACTCTGATAGAATTAATTCAAAGATGTACTTAAATATTTTAGATTACTTATAATAATTAGGTATTACAGTTTTATTATTTATTTGGCATTTTTAATGCAATTATCGTTTATGTTTTTTTTTATGAAAACTAAGAAATTTATCTCATTAAGGATAGTTAAATATTTTTAATTGGAAGATTTGGTCTTGGATGATTTGGGTAGTACTCAATTTAATTTTTGTTCTGGGATAAATGTTAGTTGCTGTTCATAAAAAGAAATTATTTTTATAAACAAAAATACCGGGTAATATAAACAGTTGATTGGAATTATGATTGTTTTAATTTAATAATTTGATGTGATTTATAAAATTTGTTTAATGACTGCCTGAAAATAACTGGGTGAAACGAAAACAAATAATTGCCTAATTGGTTTTAATGTTTCATCCAAACAGATTTCAATTCTGGAAATAGAAAAATTATTCAGTAAATTCCTTGGAACAATATCATTCTTATCCTCTTATGACGAAATATAGGAAAAAATGGTACTCAAAGTTTCAGTAAAAAGTATGTTAATCTTCTCGTGGTTTATTTTTCTTTTTTATCAAAATAAGTTCGAAAAATGCGTAATTTTTTATTACATTTTTCAAATCAGATGATGATTCTAAAACAGGCACGCCTTCGGATCTTTTTGCAAATTTCAATTTTCAGTATTTGCTGTTTAACACAATAAGGCATTTTCCTAATGACAAATTATGCTATAATAATACCTTGGGAATTGTGCTAAAGTTGAAAAATAATTTTAACAAAAGAAAATTTTCTCAACATCTTTTTTTAAAAGAACAGCTTACTTTAAGTTAGCGGTGTAATATATAACTGTGTAATAATATTTAAACGTCAAAATAAAATTGCTGTTCGAATTTGTTCATTTAAAAAACAAAGAACTCAATTTTTTGAACGGCTCTAATATGCATTTACTTCTCACAAACCAAGCAAATAAGAAACAACAAAGTAAATAAATAAATAACTAATTTGCTCAATCTTAGAAAAAAGGGTGCACTTATTTACTACCATAAGTCAGACGTTTTGCGATGAGTTATTTTAACATAGAAAATGTTCTTGAAATCTTATCAGCTAACTGGCTATAGTTCTGAGACTTAAATAAAAACTTAACAATTATTTAAAGCAAGTGTTAATTTCTAGAAAAATTTTAAGTACTAATAAAAATTAAACAAAGTAGTTTAGCATATTATCGGGAAAAAATCTGCGTGGTAGAATAAAGAAAGAGGGGAAAATATAATGAAATAATTAGTTAAATAGTTCTGTGATAGGGGATTAAAAATTTAATTTCAAAATTCAGATGTTCGGTCGACATCTAAGATGTTGAGATATTTTAAGACGCTTAAAAATTTTGGATTCGGTAACTTTATGTTCGGTATCTCTTTATGTACAGCTCTTTATGTTCGGTATCTTTATGCTCCTTGTAGTGACTTACAAAACATTAAGACTGTTTCAGATAATCTATGTTGAAATCACAAGAAACAATTAAAAGAAGTCACTCAATAATTTATCTTCACTTTTCGAAAAAATAGGATGCTAAGTAAACAGTCAGCTGTTTTGCAAAAGAATAATTTTAAACAGCAGAATGTTTCTAATTTCGTAACAAGATTTTATTCTCAGCTAGCAGGCAATAATTCTTTTAATAAAAACTTGACAATCATTTAGAAATGAGTTTTACTTTAAAGGAAAACCAATTGATTAGTGTATTAATGAAAAAATAATATGCGTGGTAGCTTAAAGAATAAGAGTTTTAAAGAGGCTGAAATTTATGTAAATAGTTGGTTAAGATGGACACTTAGAACGTGAAAATCCGATCATTAGAACGAAAGCTATTCAGGGCGATATCTTTTTTTTTGCCTACTGTACAATGCGCAAAATAAAAATCATAACAAAATAAACTTTGATTTAGAAAACACATTTTCCCGTACCTTATATGTAACCTTAAAATGCAAACCTTAAAGATGTAAAGAAACTCCTGCAAACGATATTTTAAGTAACGAAATGAGATGCAAAAATGTTCTTTCGTCGAATAAACGCACTTTTTTTCCAATCGATTTGAAAATATCTGTCAAAAAAACTATGTGGATATAACCGTAAGTCTGTTGTGATCACGCTTTTCAGATTGCTTCGTCCGCCCCCACATTTGGAAGGAGAAAAATTCAAATCCCTCAAAAAAATCACATTTATTCAGAGAAAGTAATTTTCTGTGTTTGACTTGGTAACTTAAAATATTATCTACTTTTAAAGGTGCTTCTAATAATTGTCTTTCAACTCTTCCTTATATACTCAAACACCCAAGCAGGTTTTCAGTTTTGCACAACTGTATTCCACAATGAACATTTGTCGGAGTTTAAAAGAGTTTTTGTCCTCTCCTCTTTTAAATATTAACTTAAGTTCTCCAATGTGTAAAATATTTTGTCTTTAATTTTCGACAATGATTCTAAAAAGATAGATTATGGGTGGTGATTAAGAAACAGCCTGGATTTTATATTATTCAGGAAAATATGAATGTATTTGTGTTTCAGTAGTTCAATGTCGTAAGTATTTTACAAATCTGTTTCACCAATAGAGACATAATACGAGGAAAGCCCTTGGCGAGGAAAGCCCAGACTTACTACCTTCCAACATGATTCTTGACAATTCTCGTCAATATTGGTCTCATCGTTTTGAAAATCGAAGTTTTCAGTACTATGATTTTATTGTCGAAATGGTCGCCAAAATTATTGCCAAGTCGGCAAAAATGTGGCCAAACCAAGTATTCCATAAGAAATACATTAGCTGTTATTTTCCTTCTAAATTACATTAGAATTGAGCTATTTTCTTGCAAATTTTCTAATTTTAATTTTCATTTTAATTTTCTAATTTTAATTTTCTAATTTTCAAATTTTCTAATTTTCTAATTCTATT